CCTAATATCGGGCTGATATTATATTCTTTTTTTTTATATATATCGCTTAGCCCTAACTCCTGCCATAAATTACTAAATTGCTGTCACTGCAACAATGTTTTATCAAAACTGGTCAAATATCGAAGCTAGAGTCTTTAATCTTTCTACTGATGCAGTTTGTCCAGATCAAGTAAGAGTGTTTTAACATGCCATTAATAAAGATTTTAACGAAAAGTAATCATTTGTTTTATGTTGCATTCAATTGAGAATTCATATTATGGTCATGTTACTCAAAGAAATGTTTGCAAAAAATCTCGTTGATGGAAAATATAATGTAGCGATTAGGGATGCACCGATATGAAAATTTTGGCCGATACGATAACCGATTATTCTTTATTTTTGAAAGCCGATAACCGATAAGTTGGCCGATAAATCTATATCCAAATTGTTATATACTTTTTGAGAGCCTGATTACAAAAAAGGTCTCATCATTAAAAGCCACATCCCAAACACTTCAACATAAGCAGATTCAAGGGACAAGGGGAAGGGGTAGGCGGAGCAGTAGGGGAAGGGGAAGGGGTATAAAATAGAATTGGGATTGGGCCGAAGTCTCTAGGGCAGATGCTTGGGGAGGAACATGCCTGCACTGTCCAACTATTCAGGCCTCAACAGAAGGCACAACTGCGGTTTTACATACTCTCACATACTAACACATAATAGCGACGTGCAAAAATACATATGTTCAAAATCAACTAGTTGGTGAGTTGCCTGAACGACTAAGTGGTCTTAAGGAAGTCATACATAATAGGTTGGTTTCGAGTTCGACTGACCTTTTTCCATGCAAACGGTGTCAGAGCTAAATAACAGCATGCTAATTAAAGCAAAAGCACTGCTGTTAAAAATATCAAAACTTAAAAGAACTAGTCACCCTCATATTGACTAATTGGTTGACCCAACCCCATCCACAATGCAGTTCTTGTACAGGATTAGTGGGGATACCTAGGCTGTGTAAGCTTGGGCTATTTCAAGAGGCAGAGCGATGATGATGACGTGTGGACAGCAGGTCATTCTTGCTTCCTGGAGCCTAATGATAGAGTAATCATCAGCGCTGGACCTTTAAGCAATCACATTTGCAACCTAGGTAGCTCACCTGGTACATCACTGCACTGAGAAGGGTCTGGCTGCAGCCTTGTACTTGCACTCTCAGATGTGCATTCTCAGACACTTGCGCTTCCGCTAGCGACGTCACTTGCAGGCTTTATTTTTTATTTTGTTCTTTTTTTTTATTACTTTTTGTTTGAATCTCTCAACATTTTACAACAGTAGCCAGGTGGTGAAGACAAGAAAAGACTAAATTACAATGTCACTTGCAATCGCCACTTGCACTCTCCGATACCTGCAACGTCACTTGCAATCGACACAAATCGTGCGTGTTGCCAATGGAGAGAAGACGCTGTGGTGGTGATTAAACGATTACAACTAATTTAGTACTATAACGTACAGGGTCCTGCAAGAAAAAGACAAGACCCGCAAATCCGTGGCCACAGAACAGCAGAATATGAACGCAATGTGCAAAGTCTCTCGTTAAGCATTTTCCTCCTGTAGAAAAACATAAACACTTAATATGGCTTAATTAAGATGCTATTAAAATATCAAATTAAATATACAATTTATTAATATAATAAATATGTATATAGTATCCCATACCGCAAAACGTACGTGGCATAATGTGGCATAATGGACTAAAAAGGCCAAACTCTATATGCTCCTCTACATTATTAATATACATAACTAATATGTACAGGCAAGCAGGTGAGCCCAGAATAAATGCAACACGTGTTTCGTGTTAAGCGTTTTTCCATATAGAATAAACTGTCTACAGCTGTTAAGTGTTTATGTTTTTCTACAGGAGGAAAACACTTAACTAGAGACTTTGTGCATTGCATTCATATTCTGCTGTTCTGTGGCGACGGATTTGCGGGTCTTGTCTTTTTCTTGCAGGACCCTGTCCGTTATAGTACAAAATTAGTTTTAATCATTTAATCACCACCACAGTGTCTTGTCTCCATTGGCAACACGCACGATTTGTGTCGATTGCAAGTGACTTCATAATTTAGTTTCTTTTTTTCTTGTCTTCACCACCTGGCTACTGTTGTAAAATGTTGAGAGATTAAAACAAAAAGTAATCAATAAATAGAACAAAATAAAAAAAATAAAAGACTGCAAGTGACGTCGCTAGCAGAAGCACAAGTGTCTGAGAGTGCAAGCCTGAGAATGCACATCTGAGAATGCAAGTGCAAGGCTGCAGCTAGACCCTCTTGACTGTACTTGTGATGCAGAGCCCCTTTGGGTATGGGTCCTGTGAAACACGAGTCAAATTCTATGACTTGTAGAATGAAACTAAAATGGCATGTTTGCTTCAGCAAATGCATTTTTATCTCATGTTTGCTTTTAAGTCTGCATTAACCTTCAAGCACCACATCTCAGACGTTTAATTTCTGGACTGCCACAATACATCCAATAACAAACCTTATAAAACAACACCAAATTAACATGAATCTATTTGGGGTAAAACTTAATGCACTTTTAGCCCCACTGACTGGACATTTCACTTTGAAAGTGTTGTGAAATGTGCAAGAAGCAACGTAAATATAATTTTGCAGAAATGTAATACAGCTTTTTCCAATGATCCTGGGTTGCACATTTGACTGCTGCTGCACTTAAACAAATGTTTGTACTAGAAAAGCAAAAAAGCTTAGCAGGTCAATGTACAACACCTGTAGGAAAAATTTAAGCCAATTTGCTTCACAAATTTGTATCATATAATGGTGTCTATAAAAACTACTGCCTTTAAAATAACTACTCGGAGAGGAGATGCGCTGACTATTTAACAAGGAGAACTACAGCCCTTTACTGACAGCCAAGAATGATGAGTACACCTGATAAACAAAGGTGCTACCCATTTAATATTGACTTATAACCAGCCTGGTGCATTATGATAACAAAACAGCTCAATATCACATGACGCTAACAGGCCATGTTATTTTTCATGCTCTTCAATAATAGCTTTAAAGGGGTCATATGATGTTGCTAAAAAGAACATTATTTTGTGTATTTGGTGTAATGAAATGTGTTTATGCGGTTTAAGGTTAAAAAACCACATTATTTTCCATATAATGTACATTATTGTTTCTCCTCTATGCCCCGCCTTTCTGAAACGCGTCGATTTTTACAAAGCTCATCGGTCTGAAAAGCGAGGTGTGCTCTGATTGGCCAGCTATCCAGTGCGTTGTGACTGGCTGAATACCTCAAGCGTGTGATGGAAATTTTACGCTTCTTACCATACTGTGATGCCCTGTCCTGGCACGGACGAGACAAAACCAATAAAACCCATTATAAACGAGGCATTTGTAGCATCCAGTGGGGACATAATTACGGATTATATTGACTTGTACTGTCTTTTTACGCGTTCCGTTGCATCGCACCACGTAAACATAAAACCATGTCTGCATTTGTGATCGGAGAAATGACAAACAACAAGCTCTTCTCTACACTGCTCAAAACTGCATTTGAATCATCAGTTGCAAATCCTTTAAATATGAAAACGTACTTAGAGTCTGTGAGTCAGAACAGCCGGCATTGTAGTCAAAACAAAAAAACGAAATAGACCTCAAAAGAAATGGTTTTCAAGCATTCATTCTTGCAGACATAACCAAATATGTGCAGTTTTCTGACCACTGGACTCCATCTTATATTATGTTTACAGTCAGGCCAGGGTTAACACCGGCAGGATGCAGGTCTTGATGAGAACCCACTTTGAGGTTTCTAACCACACCGTGACCCATTTCTAGTCATCTAATGAATTCAGTTCAAGCTCTACAACAACGAACCTTCCAGAAAAGTAGCTAAAATGGCAAACAAAAAAGCATAAGTCTTTCAATGCTGTTATGTTTCTTGCACAAGAACTTTTACCACTCCATGAGATTAACCACAGGCTACATTGAAAACTAAAGCTACTACTCTATTAGTGGCATAGGCTAAACACAATGCATCAAAAGTGCAAATCATTCCTCATTAGTAAGTCAGAAGGGCATGCAAAACAAGCAACCCATGCATGTTTTCCTTAGAGGGAGGAACAAGTAAACAGAATTTGATGGTTTGCTGCACAAAGCAACTGCAATGATGCTGATAGTGAAAAAATGACAGTTTATATCCATCCTCAAAGATCAAGATGGCCAGCAACATCCGCAAGACAGAAGCTCACACACTCAACACGATCAGACATCAAGAGAACAATACTGCTAAACATCCACAGATCAGTAAGCACTACTTTAGTGATGCCTGTGTGTAGTACGAACTGCACACGCCGAAAGATTCCCTTATAAAAGTCAACTCAATACAAAATATTTACCTCCATCAAACATGAATTTCTCCAACTGGTTCTGTCATTTACACGTGAACTATTTCGACATCAATTTCAGTGTCTCTTTCTGCCATTTAGATAGGAAGTGTATATAGAAACCAACTTATGAGACTGCAGAGGGTTTATACACATTTAAAAGCATTATATTAAGTGAATATTTAGTATAATAGGGAAACAATAACGATAAACGCAAGGATATAGGCTCTGTAAGTTACAGATAAAAGCTGAGATGATGTGTCCCTGTCAAACCAGACATCACTTATCAAACCTCCCTACAGACCCGGCGAACACAACTCTAAAAACCCTTCAGCCTGCGTAAATTCATCCTATCTAAACATTAAACTGTACAAGAACATCACAGTGAACCAACAGACTTCCTGTCTGGTGCTGCAGTAAGTTTAGCAGTTAGCTGGCCGTTATCCGTCCATCGAAGCCCGCTAACTCTCCCCCTCAGACCGCCTCAATTAAAGTAACGGATTCAAGCCCTCAGTCGTCCAAACAACCTCCAAAACAAAGCCACAGCACTAAAGATATGTCCTCTGACAGTTTCAAGCAACGAGAACTCGTCGAAAGAGGTTGTAAATCGGTGAATTCTTACCCATTTGCGCCCGCAACCCTTTCAGAGACGTTGCACCCTCCGCCATTTTTGCCGAAGTTTTTTTCCGGCTGTTTGGCGCTGACACATTAGAGGCGCGCGCCGCGGTCTACAGACGGCGACAGCGACAGCGACATCTAGCGTTTGACCGCACGCACTGCAGGACACAGCGAGAGTGGTCGTTACTCGGTGGTTTTCAAACCGGTGTCCGTGACCGCAAAAGGGTGCTATGGGGTCTGTGGAAAACTTGAGAAAAAGTTTTTAAAAAATCCGTATATATAAAGATATATAGACAATGTTTTAGAAATTTGCTTTGACTTCAGACAACATAAAAGTCATTTAATTGATTTTGGAAATAGCATGTCTTCTTTTCACTTTTATTTTTAAATAACATTTTTCTCACATTAAAAAAAGGTGATTTAAACATGAAAATATATAACTCTTTATATTTTATGAATGATTATAATATTTGAGGGGTCCTTGGCATCAAACAGTTTGAAAATCTTTATTATAAACTCTCCACTGTCATAATCCTTATATATGCCTGAATGTATGTATGGAGGGGGTGCTTTGGGGGCTCAAGCCCCTCGCCTTTTCCCAAAATTAACCAGAAGTGGCCCTCTCTCAACAGTTATCAACAATAATATTGTGGTCAATATTGTGTGTAAACAGTAACGAATGGCTCGGAATAGGCCTACCTGTTTATTTTTACTTAGCCTACATCTTTCAGTTTGAGACATCGTTGACATTATATTGCTATAGATTGTGTGCATCTTAAACAAGCTCAAATTGCATTGGACTTTGTGAATTGGAAGTAAATCGGTTGAAATATACACTGTCCATTTTCAGGTGTATTACAGATACAGACTCTATAAAACAGGTGTATTATTATTTTCTTTTTTTTACAAGCCTGAAATTGCAAAAGTAGAAGAAGTGGCGTTAATTCTAAGTAGTGTTTAATTTACTCCTGTTTATGTACTGCATATTGATATAGGCTACAGTTTACCGCCTATTATGTGAAGTGTAAGCAGTTCAAGTTCAAGGACAGAGTTACATATATAGATATTTGGAAATTATTATTAATTGTTATTTTTTAAGTTATGCTTTTAATGCCAAAGAAAAACATTTAAATGAAGTTTGGTGCACAAGCTTGGCATATTTTCCTTTGACCACTATACTGGAGCTTTGACAATATGTTGAATGAGAAACTGACAGGATCAGCTAAGCTGTGGTCAACCCCTCCCTTTAAGAAAACACCATATTCCCTTTGGCAGAACTACTTTTCAGGCATCTCGGACTGCTTCCTTTCATTTTAGCCATAGTTTGCAGCAGGCTGAGCAAGTATCAGTTGCATGTATTAAATAGTGCACCAGTTCTTTTTTTTACAAGCCTGAAATTGCAAAAGTAGAAGAAGTGGCGTTAATTCTAAGTACAAAGTATCTTTGACAATATGTTGAATGAGAAACTGACAGGATCAGCTAAGCTGTGGTCAACCCCTCCCTTTAAGAAAACACCATATTCCCTTTGGCAGAACTACTTTTCAGGCATCTCGGACTGCTTCCTTTCATTTTAGCCATAGTTTGCAGCAGGCTGAGCAAGTATCAGTTGCATGTATTAAATAGTGCACCAGCACTTACTGTAAGCCAATAATGGATGTGCCTGTGAGGGAATGTCAGGGCTTCAGATATACGGAGTATATGACGCTCTAGTCCATACTTCCCACAGACATACAACAGAGCAATCTATAACAATAACTGCTTTGACTAATTCATTGACCAGTGTAGGGCAGAACAAAACTGGTTTCACAAACTTGTGTGACCTGAACTAGTTACAACTGATACACCTGAAGATATGCATATAGCATTATGCAAAATGTAGTATTTATTTGTATTAATATTTATTTTCACAGTGATTGTGCTTTGACCACTATTGTCAAAATTGTCATGCAAGCAGCACTGAATTTGTATTATTTTAATTGAACACTGATGATATCTAAATGTAAAATAAAATATAAACTGATATCGTTCACAACCTTGATAGTCTATCTATAAGTGTTAAATCATAATATTGTTGTCAGATGTTGAAGAAAGAGGAGTATAGAAGTATGCGTGAAACCTCATACATGGGAACACTGTTGTGTATTTTTTCACAGTCTTGAGGTAAATTCTTTCAAGCTTCTTGTAGAAATACCCTGAATTTGGAAATGTAGAGGAAATGGTGAGGTGGAGGCTGAAACCTTCCTTTCCCTGTGTGACATAAAACCAGCTGTTGATTAATCCCTTCCTTGAAAACAGTTTTGGCAACACTCCCTCTATTTATGAAAAACACACAATGTAAATCTTTGGAAATATAAGAAAGAAACTAAGAGCAGTCAATAATTTTGCCCTCTTAACTTTCTGAATATTATGTCATTATACAAAGGTATTATGTGTAGCTTTATTCTTTTTACTGATTCTTGAGATATGGAACAACAACTTTACCTTAAAATAGCAACATTTGCACATTGAAATTAATCAGAGATGGTGGCTAGAATGTTCCTAATTCAAATGTATTTTGATTTTCATATATTTTTTAACCTGTCTTCAGACCAGCTCAGTACCAGGTATACACTAGTCAACAACTAGTCAAAACCTTTAATCAAAGTTGTCCTAAAACCTACAACCCAAATGTATTTTTGTCTTAGGACAACTTTGATTAACTTTTTTGATCCACTTCAAATGTTGACTACTGTAGTTTAAAATATGTATAGAACTTAAGATAAATAGAAATATACAGTGGGTACGGAAAGTATTCAGACCCCCTTAAATTTTTCACTCTTTGTTATATTGCAGCCATTTGCTAAAATCATTTAAGTTAATTTTTTTTCCTCATTGATGTACACACAGCACCCCATATTGACAGAAAAACACAGAATTGACATTTTTGCAGATTTATTAAAAAATAAAAACTGAAATATCACATGGTCCCAAGTATCCAGACCCTTTAATCAGTATTTAGTAGAAGCACCCTTTTGATCTAATACAGCCATGAGTCTTTTTGGGAAAGATGCAACAAGTTTTTCACACCTGGATTTGGGGATCCTCTGCCATTCCTCCTTGCAGATCCTCTCCAGTTCTGTCAGGTTGGATGGTAAACGTTGGTGGACAGCCATTTTTAGAGACATACCTCTCTCACCAAGGCTCTTCCTAAAGAAAAAAGTGCTATCGTGCTGACAGAAGAAACTTCGTTGTAATTATTTATATCTATATTCCTCCTTTATGGTTTCACAGCTTTGTCCCTACAGTCAGTGTCAAACATTTATAAAATAAAATGCTTGAAAAAAAATTGAACCAATATTTTTTATGTACCAGAAGTCACAAAGAGCTTTATTGCCAAGTATGTTTGCACATACAAGAAATTTGTTTTGGTGACAGAAGCTTCCAGTGCACAGAGACAACAACAACGAATAACGAGTATATAAAAAATAAAGATATCTGATTAAAATACACATGTATATATAAATAAACATAAATAGACAAAAATTGTATGTAAGGGTGTGCTATAGATGGAATAAGATGTAGGGATGGACTAAGATGGCTGGTATCAAGCAAACAGAAACCTCTCCTGCCTCGTTCTTTTCAGAAACTGAGAAACAAAATAATCACAACACTGTTAATGATGAAAGTGGCACTGACAACATACAGTTTCACGTTATTTAACAACATACAATTTTATATGCTGACCCTGGTAACACCAGGAGAGTACCCCGACACGTAATTGTAGGCCTATTTAAATGCTTACAACTAAACACTATCGTAACTATTTAAACTTACGTTAGCTAGCTATCGATGCTCTCTCATAAATGACATCATTATGGTATTCTTGATAATCGATAACTTACCTTTATAGCCATGAAAATAAGCATGTACATAGGGTTGCCAACTTTGGTTGCCTGGCTGGAGTGTGACTGATTAGTTACAGTTGTGCAGCACATTTCACTTTAAAGATTCACTTTTCATTCATGAAGATGACCAAAAATGTGTCTCCTGGCAGAAAACAAAGACTTTTTAAAGATGAAAATGACAAGATTTTAGCATTATAACCAGTAGATGGCAGACAAGGACCACTCATTAGCTCAGTTGCCATTTCTATTCCATAGCTTTTTCACATCTTGCTTTTGGATTTATTATAAAATGACTATTGTAACACATTTGAGTACTTTTACTGTATTGAAGTATAAAGTATAGCAAGTGCAGGAAGTCACAAAGTCTCATGCCATTTAAAGGTCCCATATTGTCAAAACTGAAATTTCCTGGCTTTTTTCACGATAACTGAGGTCTAGGGGCTATTTAACTACCATATAAGTTTCAAAACAGTCAGTCCACAGTAAAATGCACACAGCCTGCATAAAGTAGCTGTGATTTTTCACGTGTGACTTCCGTAAAAAGTTGACGTCAGAACTACACAGTCACCACCTTCAGTCACCACCCCGAGCACTGCCCACCGTCCCACTCTCCTTTTGCCAAACTCCCAGACAACATCGCGTCCATGCCATTGCTGAGCAACAACAAGGAAACATGTGAAAAGGTTCACTTTAACCACGAAACCAGATCGGCCGACCAGTAACGTTAAACTCTCACTCAAAGGATGGACGAACTGACAGGATTGTTACTATGAGGTGGATCACATCTAACGTGTATAGTAAAGACAAACTCACCGTGTCTATCTAGTCATGATGAAGATGTATATACATTTCAATTTCAGCATGCAACTATTTTTACAGCTACATTATTGTTCCAGCCACAATTAATCACAACAATGTATATACAATTACAAATGAATATATATGAATCGTCAGTTTGTTGTTTTACACACATGCACACAGACATTATTTCATACACGACATAGTCGTGAGATGCAAGAAACATAAGCATATGGCAAGAAATATGTAGACGCGCCCATAACAACAAAAGACAATACTTTATTGAACCTTTTCTGATAAGAAGTGTGCGCTGCAAACGTGAAATTTTTTTACGATCGTTTCTGTCCAGTCTGCTCGTTTTATCGCGTTAAACCACTGCTGTCGTCATTTTTTTTTGTCTGGCAGTGGCAGCAGATATGTGATCAAATTTCTAATTTGAGGCTGTATTACGTCGATTATGGCACCCAACATCACAACAAGATTGTGTAGATACTTATGTAGCCGAATCTGCGCTGGCTGGAATGGGCCGCCTCCAGTTTCCCCTTTGTTTAGCTGCCTCCAGCTAGCGCTAACTAATAATAAAAAAGGATATATATAGAATATATAATATTCTCAAAATATGCATCCAAATGCGAATGCAAATATCTGTCCAAATGAGAATTATGTAATCAACTCAGAGAGAGCTTTGGGTTGCCATTATAAAATCTAATTAAATTTGTTTAGTGAGAGCTATCTGGAAGAACCAAATCTGATCTGAACGCCTGAGGAGGAACATTACCTGAACTGTTTGCATAAGATCTGAAACAACTTCCTGTTAAGATGGTAGACTCATACTGGCCACACAAATATATGCAGAACTGTTCATGCAATGAAAACAAGAACAGTTCCGCATATCATTGTCATGTGCTGTCTTTTATGACGTTATTATTATTGCATTTCCAAAAATACAGCATTTGTGGATCTTTCATACTTTAGTGATCAATCCTTACAGCTTCAATCACATGCTGCTCTTATTATAAAAAAAAAAGCTACTACGGAACAAGCTGACACAAATGCTTTATCAGCCCACCATTGACTCTATATCAGAACCATTCTTCCTTATTTAGCAAGAGTCTGCAGTATTTCATCACACAACTTGCACTATTAATCTTTAACTATTTATAAGGTGTGCCTTCTCCCACATTCATGAGTGATAATCATAAACCAGATCAAAAAACAAGTATACATCTCAATCAGAATTACCAATCTGGGTCTCAGTGATGTGAAAGAGAAACATTCACAAATTCATGAAATGAAAGGGTTAAACTAACTGATTCATCATAAGATTAACTTGTTCCGGATACTGTTCTTTATTGACCCATGTACGGATCCTTTTATGTTTATTACTGTCTTTATGATTAATAAATAACTTATCAACAAGAGATTGGGCGTGGATTTTGTCTCCTTTGAGGAGAGGTCCAGCGCTGGATATATTTAGAGGACAACAAACTCTCATTTCATTTTCTAGGTTGAATTTGCAGGGTATACATCCTTTATGTTGTTTTGTTAATACTTTAGTGTTTTCCATTCTAGAGAAATGTCATAACACAGTAAGTAGTAATCTAACTCAAGCTGAATCAAATTACTAAAATGGTAAAGTAATAAATTTTTCGTTTTATGGATGGTCTGCCTTTTTCAACTTTAAACATAGACATTTTTACTTTAAATGCTTTGAATTTTAAAGGTTTTTGAAAGTTTGTTTTTTAAGTGAGGACACCATAGAAATGAATACTTTCTCTCTTTATTTATTTTTGCTTTTCTTTTTTTAATTATAGATATATCATGCATACCTTCAATAAATACCTGCCTGTGGCTATTTACATATGGATTTTGGGCTCCTCTCTCAGTTGTGCAGGTATGATTTTTTGTTGTTGGTTTTTTTTTGTCAAAACTCTTCCTTGCATTTATTTTGTAACTATCTTTTCTCCATGTCCATAATACTTTATTTCTTGGAAAAATATCAGTTGTATTGCTAAAAAAGGATATTATTTGTTGAGTTTTAGTGAAGGGAAAGACCTGTGTTTCACTCTGTTATGTTTGACATTTAAAAGTGTTGGTTAAGAGTGACAAGAGCTAAGAATAATGAATAAACATGAGTAATATTTTGCTTGTTAACATGCTAAATAAGTGGCATATAGTATGTGCTATGCTAGCTGTTAATTTAAGGGTCACCAATATTTGTTTCATTAGAAGTTGTCATAACTCAAAAAGACTGACGCAAACTGTTGCGTTAATTGGTTTTGTTGAACCAAAACATTGCTTTAAGATGAAAATAGATGCCTAATCTGTATTCTAACTTTTAGGCCCAAGTCTATGGGGGAAGAAGAAAGCCTCTCCACGATCCTGTGTTTGGCAGTTGAATAAAAGTGCTATCATCCCACCTTTAGAGGAATTGAGTGTCTGCGTCAACCTCATGAGAAATATTAACACTTCTGAATGGACTGCTTTTGACTACAAAGGTCCAGGGCAACAGCACATGGAGTTTGGCTTAGCTGGAAATATGGGCAATGTAATAGCCTCTATTTTTGGAGAAGAATGGACAGTTGCTTATGACATGCCCATAAAAAAGTGGCACACAGTTTGTCTGACATGGTCCGGTCACATTAGGCTTTTCCAGGTGATCATTAATAATACAATTTTTGAATTTCATTTGAATGAAACATCACCCAGGTTCCTTGTCGGAAATGGTACCCTGACTTTGGGAGTGTCACATAATTTTGTTGGAGGTTCTATTGATTTTGAGACCGGGAAAAACTTCCTTGGGGACATCTCCTTGTTCCGGATGTGGGGAGTACAGATGAGTCCACTGCAACTGGAAGCATGCAGATGTGTAGATGGGAATATTGTGACTTGGAGAGAGCAAGATTGGGATTATCAGAAGTGTCCACCGATAGAGGATGACAACTTTATGTGTGGTGAGAAATTGCTCTGTCGCTCTAGAGTACAAGAGTATTTGTAGAAGAGGAAATGCAGAATTAATGTTACAATAACTTGTGTTATATGATGAAATGCATCAATGTGTCATTGCATTCTAATGACCTGTATCTTCGCCACATTTCAGAATCGTCAAAATATAAAATTCAAATGAACACAGCTATTACACAATATCTCAATAATGATTACAGTGAAAATGATATCCAGGAGATTGTTCTAATCTGGGTAAGATAATATTTCTATATGTGTGTGTATGTATAATGTTATATATCATATTTAACATTTTTATTTAACATATACTGAATTTATATATTTTTATTACAGCTGAAACATGTTTTCCCTCAGAAAATATCAGTGCATTCTGTGTTCCTATCAAATTTAAGGTCATTATTTCATTTTTAAAACTAACTAAATAAATACATATAAATACACAAATAGTTGTATAACTTAGTGCATCCATGTCATTTTTATTTTACTTTATTGTCTAAGAGAGGTTGGCGAAATTTTTCTCATCTGTGCTCCAATTTAGCCCTCAAACAGGAGCTGGTTTAGCTGGACAAAATAAGGAGGAAATTCAGGTACAGCATATACCATAATTATTCATTATTGAGTGGACATATATAATTTATATCCTTATATTCTTAAAACGCATAACGAGTTATTTACAAATGCTATATTGTACTTCTTTGAAGGGTATTGGAAAGCCACTAATCAAGACACAATGGTAAAATTTCTCATACACTTGCAATACACGCATATATGTCACACAAAAATAAAACGTTTATGCATTGTGTATGAATCAGATCATCCAAAGGAGTATTTGTCGTGTTTGTGGTCTTAGGTTTGATTGTGTGGTGTTTGTGAGAGTGATACCTGGAGCTGATGTGAGTAAAACAGTGTCTATGATACAGGGGATGCTAATACCCAGCTATATCTACAAAAACATCATCCTAAAAACAAACCCAGCATCTATAAACATCCTCTCAGTAGGTACGTAGCTGTATGTGAGGGGTTGGAAGAGGATTATTCAGTTAACCAAAGCTCACTGAGTGTTTCATTTTACAGCCGTCTATCCCAATGTGACTTCAAATCCTGCTTTGACCACTGTTGCACCAGACTTGTCTCAAACCACAAAGAGTCCCGACACTGGAAGTACAAATGTTACAACATCAGGTCTGTGCCATTCAGAGCTTCATAACTCGCCAAGTAAATGTTTTCATTAATGCAGAAGCCGATCCATCATACATATACATACTTTATATAAGAAAGTGCTAAAAGCTCACATTCCTTTTAAAAAACTCACATGTAAAACATTTTGTTCTTTAGGAACTCGCACATCATTACAAACACTGGCAATGGAAAATATCTGTTCAAACACTTTAGGTTTCATTTCAAACAGAGGTGAGTTAATAACATAACATATTTTTGTTTGGTTTGTACATTGTGGATATACCAGAACCTCATTTGAAAAACAAATAAAGTGACAACTACGTAAAACATATTTGAATGCAGGTTTTGTGAGAGTAACAAATCTTTGTGTGAAATATAGAATCATATTGAATGGATTATCTTTATTTTATGTTTATTTTAAATGAGTGATATTATTTACTGTCAAGCAATGTGACTGAAATGTTAAATAAAACTATTTTGCCGTATATTATGTTGTATTTTGAACAGTAAATTTAATTTACTAATGTTTCACCAGATTTTGGAGACATTTTTTATAGAGTTTATCTCAATCTAACAATGAGTGGAAGCATCACAGACCCTCAACACACTATACAGCAATGGGTGAGTAATGACACTTATGATAAAAAGTAATTTAGAGCCTTTGTATTTGACGTGCTTGTTTTCTTCAGCTTCAGCAAACACTGGGAAAATGCAACATGGACGTTTGGAATCTTGTGATAAAAGGAGCTCCTAAGTAAGTGTCCCAACATGGAACACATGGAACATGCAAATGCAAATGAAATAGATGCTGTATTTTTACTCAAATTAAATCTTTTTCAGGTACGTCACTACTTTTCAGGTTCAGGCTATGGCACCAGTGAATGTCTCAGCAACAGAGAGGCTGATTTTTGAACTCTTGACAAAAGGATACACTAATGCTACCATCAGTATCAGTGTCCCGTCTGGTGAAGTCAACATCATTCAAATAGGTAATGTCTGATTTTGCTGGTGACCTGTACATATTAAAGCAAAAAAAATAAAAATGCTACAAATTACTGCTGAAAATTTCTAATGGAGTCAAAATATGTCTGTTGTTTCTCAGTGTAAGCTGTTTATTGTTGCAGATCCAGGCTTTTGTCCAGAGGAGACCATGGTCACAGTGTATGGTATATACATGTGGCCCGAAATGACGGCTCAATGCGAATATAGCATGGGGTGTATAAGAGGGAATGAAAGTGCTACAAGGTTTTGGTAAGTGCTACACTTCATGCAGTGGTTTTGCAACTAATACAGAGGTTGTTCAAATAGGAGTATCAATCAATTAATCTACTGAGGTATTAAAAACAAATTTGTTTTGTTTGTTTGTTTTTTGGACGTTATCATTTTCGTAATCACCATTGCATATAATTTTAAAGTGAAATACAGCTTTGTTTCTACAGAAACAATTCAACAGCCCTGGAAAAACATTCAGTTAACACTAGTTTGCCATGTGTATATCTTTGCGTCATTTGGCACACAAACTATATAAACAATCCTGTGCTGCTCTACTGATTAATATGTTTTATCTTTTTCTTATGGAAAGCAATATCCTTTAATTGAATAATTAGCTTGTCAATGCTGCTTGGACTCCTGCCACTGCAAATATTAATTCCCAGCACAGCAATATAACTCCAGTCACCATTGCATAAAACTGATTTTTTTTCAAGAGTTCAGGAAACCTCAGGAAAAGCTGTACAACAATCATGTCATATATAAAACCCTGTAAATAATATTTTCTTGAAGTCAGGAAAATGCATTAAAGGGGGTAAAATGCTGTTGCACTGTTGCCAAAATGGGTTTTAATAAAAAAACTGAAAACGTTTTAAAAAGGAAAACTGGATGCTTTGAATGTTCAGAGAACACTCAGAAGTAACGTTTTCATAACTTAATGGGAAAATTGGCAAAACATTCTTAAAAAACTTTTGTTAGCTGGGGAGCTGTCAAAAGTCTATTGCTGACAAACAAGGCCATAGAATTAGGGAACGCTATGGGTCCCCTACCAATATCCAGCCTAATTAAGACCCAGCACTCTGATGCTGCTGTAATGTTGTTGGTTTTACATAATCAAAATTGTGTAATTATTGTCTGATGAATATGCTAACATAAAAAGCTCTCTTTATGAATTATAAGAGTGTTGTCTGCTGTTATGTCCCCATCAATGTCAAAATCAAACCTACACCCTAGCTGACAAATAAATAGAGTATTGGTGCCGGTAACAATATACATTGTTAATTTACTTACACTACCGGCATTGTAACAGTACAAAGCTGGTTGAAAATCGGTGAACAAACCCTTTAATAAATGGCTAAACGAGAGTCACTTTTTTCCATTTAGTAAGTTAAATGGGGCAACTGACAGAGCAGCGTGGGATCATCCAGACATGAGCAAGTGTATAAGGATGGTTTCAGATTTTGATGATTTGGAAAATATCACCGTTACAGCTGGTAAGTTATCAATATGGGATTTTATTTGCCTTTATTTGTCAGCGAAGACAGAAGCATAATTAATTCAGCCCAATTTATTATTCTCCATGTTGCATCTGTCTCCAGACAACTCAGCAGACATTGTGGATATGATTGAGGATCTTTTAAATGAACAACCCGATCTGACTGATGCTCAGCTGGACATTGTGCTTGAAAAACTGTCTGACGTCACTGAGGTTGGAACCTTGACCACAGACCTGTCCAGTGACATTACTAAAATTGTTTCAGATATCTTTTATATCAAAACTAGTCCCACCCAAGTCAACAAGTAAGTATGCAAGCAGGCCAGAGCATTTTGTGAAGGATTACATTTTGATATATATATAGTTTAAGGCAGGGCTGGGCAACTTCGGTCCTGGAGGGCCACTGTCCTACAGAGTTCAGCTCCAACACTAATCAAACACACCTGCCTGTAGATTTCTAGTGATCTTGAAGACGTGCAAGACAGTGGCCCTCTAAGACCGAAGTTGCCCAGCCCTGGTTTAAGGGATAGTTGAACCAAAAATTGATTTTCTATCATTATTTACTCACTCTCATGGTTGTTTCAAACATGTATACATTTCTTTCATCTCTGGACACAAAAAGAGAAAATTAAAATATAAGGCCCAAGTTGCTACAATATGGTATCAGAAGATCCCACACTATTTTAAATTGATAATGCTTATTCTTTTTTTTATGTCACTTTTCACGGAGCCAAAAAATCTGACAAAAACATCAACTTAAAGTTAAAGCATCTTAATGATGGATTTATTACAAACACTCAGCTTTTCACTTCACAAGACATTAATTGATGGCCTGGAGTCGTGTGGATTACTTGTGGATTATTGTGATGTTTTTTCAATGATGACTTTCATTCTGATCCATTCACTGCAGAGAATCCATTGGTGATCAAGTGATGCCATGCTTAATTTCACCAAATCTATTCTGATGAAGAAACAAACTTATCTACATCTTGGATGGCCTGAGGGGGAGTAAATTTTCAGCTAATTCCCTGATAGCACACATACTGTACATCATGAGACGTCTATTTGACATCTGCATTTACATCTGCAAAACATATTTTGTAGAGTGTTTGCTCATCTGCAATATTTATATTAGATGTCAAATAGACGTTTAAGATGTTTAGACATTCTGATGAAGAAACAAACTTATCTACATCTTTGATGGCCTGAGGGGGAGTAAATTTTCAGCTAATTCCCTGATAGCATTAAGCTCTTAAGATTTTCACTGGAAACCAAAAGGTTGTTGGTTCAAAACCAAAATCCAGTATCACCAGATTGTGTCCTCCAGCAAAACACTTTGTATATTTGTACTCCAGTGGTCCCTCATATCAAAATGTTGTCCCTCATATCAAAATGTCAAAAATTTTGTATCACAAAGTGTCTATGCATGCAGATTAATGTGGCATTATATATCTAACACTGCATGACATCTAACACTGCATATCTAACACTCCAAGATCATTATGGAAACTTTAGACTCTTTGCGAAAATAGCAGTGTGATATTAAAATATCACAGTACCTTTGCGAATGTGTTTTCACACCATTGTGACCACAAGGTTTCTGTGTCCTTGTGTGCGTTAGTGGATCACGGGATTCAAGTGGTTATTTTAGCACCATTTATATGTCAGGTGTGATACTCGCCCTGACCACTAAATGACTTTGAAGTAAGTAAGATGTAAACATATTGAGCCAGCATTGTATGTATTAAAGCTGAAGTATGTAATTTTTTCAGTGTGTTAAAATATCTTCCTATACCATTTTAAAGATGTAAGCTATTCATAGGTTAATTTGTTTGTTTGATCATCGGCTGATGAGGATGTTTGTTTGTTAGGGTCAATGGCGCTATTGGTGCAAAAACAGCTTTACGTTTCATTTATACTTCAATGTCAAACCTACTGTACACCCTTATGTGCCCGTTTGCATAAGAAACTTGAATTAGTCAGGCTATATTGCATTCGTTCCTATTGTTTATGAAGATGCAGTAGATGTATTTTTATCATGTTTGTTCATTTTTGCTCAAATAATGAAAAAACCAAAGCAGATTCAACCATCACATGTCTCCAAGCAACACAGGAGTGGTGAATGAATCAGTATTTTAAATAAACGCTTGAGTGAATGATTCAATGACTCATTCATAGTCACCTGTCGCCACCTACTGGCATATTGATGTAACCGGTAAAAAGACAAATCCCCACCACTAATGCACAAACTGACAGTCTGGAACAATCAATACAGAGAAAAAGTGTGAACCTGAATGGTTAATGGGTTTTAAAGTATGCTGTAATATTTTCTTCCCTTTTTTGTAGATATTTTATGACAAGAACTTTACAGAGCATCCAGACAAAGGAACTGTAGCGTTCATTTCCTTACCTCATACAATTGAGAGCTTTTTCCCGAACAATGGAGCCAGACCTCGTGTACAGTTTCATTTTTATGGCATAGAAGACTTCTTTGAGGTAACACACTGAACTGGTGATCAGATTTTCCTTGTGTATTTTTCTAATTTTAATAAACCAGTCAGTTTACGTAATGAACAGCAAAACTATAGAATTAGCAGTTTTTAACTATTTATATGCAGCATTTTTGCAATCAGTATTTACTTCTAATGGCACACTTTTAACACCTAGGACCCTACAGCCAACATGACACTGAACTCTTATGTAGTATCTGCCAGTGTCACCAATGCCACAGTAAGCAACCTTGAGATCCCAGTGATGGTCACTCTCCGCCATCTCCAAAACAAAGAGGTCTGTATGGATACAATCAGCCACCAAATCAGAAAACAAACCACAAATCAGTTCAACATCATTATTGCCCCGTTATACAACGGTTGGAACAAACGATAGTAAACAGTTACCATAATAATGTAAGCTACCACCAAATGTATGCTATCTTTTGTCAACAAATACCTTCCTAAGAATAGCTACTCATGAAAATGAGGCAGCTGTAATTCATCTACAATGATAACCCCTGACATTATCACAGATTTACAGTCTGATCATTAAAGTAAAATTTCACCACTCTCTCTTTTTTCTCTATAGGACTGGGACATTGTCAAGTGTGTCTACTGGGACTTCAACAAAAACAGTAAGCTTTGTGATACACACTTTCAAATGGAACATTTAGGCCTATTTAGAGTAAAAGTGCAGTTTGGTCAATATCCCATGATGTGAAGCTATTAAACATAATTTCGGGAGGAGTACGCCCATCTAATCTTCCAATTAATACCAAGGTATAAAACCAGCATCTTACCTCTTTCCATTGTTAGTTCTTTCGGCATCCCTCCTCTTCCCCTTCTCCTCTTTTTTTGTACAATTTTGCCTGTTATAAGGGGGCACCGGAGCTTGAGTAGAATATCCTCTCTGAGCCCCTCTATGGCAGACAGCAAGCCAAATCTGTTTACCACTTACGCTAAGATTATATGGGCACATGAACTCGTGAAGTTCAGTGGTTGTTTTTTATGTCTCATAGATGAGAAAGGTGGATGGAATGATACAGGATGTGAGACAATAACGTCTAATGCCACTCATACGTTTTGTTCCTGTAATCACCTCACACATTTTGGAGTTCTTCTGGTGAGTTCAGTTTGTCTTCCCAAAATGTAGACAGCCCATTAAAAATATTATAAAGTACACAAAGTTTTACCTCATTTTTATGGTTGTGTGAAACTAAATTTCCCCTTGCAATAGCACAAGGTCACTGAATTATAACTGACATTATATTTACCAAAGGCAACATAATAATTAGCAGTAAAGCTTTTATGAAAACATTTGTAAACTAAAGGTCATTAGTTAATTTATGGATGACAAACGGTAGCAGTGTGCACAACATTTGCATAAAATATGCCTAGATTTTGATTACTGTAACCAGTATGCATGCTACTCTGAACCTGTCTGTCTTCAAGGATATCTCTAAAACCCCAATAAGTGCAAAAGATGAAAGGATTCTGACTATCATCTCATACCTGGGCTGTGGCATATCCTCAATCTTTCTTGGAGTCACACTGTTGACCTATTTGGCCTTTGAGTGAGTTCATGGACTCTTTTGTAAGCTACCACTTAAACCAGAATAACAATGCAGACTTAGAGATTCATTTGGGTTGTTTACATCCTTGAGCAACTCAAAAGGATTCATCTTCAGTAGTGTCAATAAATGTTAATTGTCAATAAATGTTGATGTCTTTTTTACATGAGTTTTCTTACCACAGGAAACTGAGGCGAGACTACCCTTCGAAGATCCTTATTAACCTCTCCATAGCCTTGCTAGGGTTGAACATGCTCTTCCTGGTGAACTCCTGGCTTGCCTCTTTTAACAGCAATGCCATCTGTATTACCATAGCAGCCTTTCTACATTACTTCTTCCTGGCTACCTTTACTTGGATGGGACTGGGTGCAATCAACATGTATCTGGCCTTGGTCAAGGTCTTTAATTCATATGTACCATCTTACATCCTCAAATTCTGTGCTCTCGGATGGGGTGAGACAGGCAGTTTTGAGTTTTTTCTCTTCATAAAATGTTATACCGTGTAGTTTCGATTAAATTATATGTGACGAGAATATTTGTGCATAACAACTAAGGGTTTGTGTTTGTTGATTCTTGAACTGTTGTTTGCAGGTTTACCTCTGCTGGTTGTAAGTTTAGTGCTTGCCATTGATATAAATTCATATGGCACCAGCCTCTCCAGAGCACTTTTCCAAGAATCCACCGCATTGTAGGTGCCATGAGCAAAAGGATTTAAAATACACATTTGTAAATGCATTAATTGGTGCACACCAATGACTATAACTATAACCATTGAGCAAGCAACCCAGTCTCACAAGAAAATTTATTTTTACGTTTCTTACAAAATCATACAATGAGATTCGTAGGAAAATGTATACAATTAGTAATTTCAAAAGTAAGCACAAACCTAAATTCCTAACCCCACCCCAAACCCTAACCCTCTGTGGGGCAAGAGCAGGTCGTTCAAAAACATATGAATGAGATTGTACAAATTTACCAAACCTAAAGTAGTTTTGAAGGCTGCATTGTCGTTGAAATCACTCACAGCAAATTCTGTCCTAAAATTTTTTTAAAGGCCGCAATTAGAATAAACAGAAAGTTATCGTCTGTTGGTGTGGATGATAATTTATTTATCATTATGGTTGTCATTAAAGGGGTCATATGATGTTGCTAAAAGTAACATTATTTTGTGTATGTGCTGTAATGAAATGTGTTTATGCGGTTTAAGGTTCAAAAAACACATTTTCCACATACTGTACATTATTGTTTCTACTCTATGCCCTGTGCTCTGATTGGCCAGCTATCCAGTGCGTTGTGATTGGCCGAATACCTCAAGCGTGTGATAGAAATGTTACGCCCCTTACCATACTGTGATGCCCTGTCCCGGCCGGAGCGACGAGACAAAACATTAAAACCCACATTTGTAAATTGTCTAGTGGGGACATAATTACGGATTATAATGACTTATACTGTCTTTTTACGCGTTGCGTTGCATCGTGCTGCGTAAACATAAAACCATGTCTGCATTTGTGATCAGAGAAATGACAAACAACAAGTGATACTCTACACTGCTCAAAACTCGCGTTTGAATCGTCAGTGGCAAATTCTTTAAATATAAAAAACACACTTACAGTCTGTGAGTCAGAACAGCCGGCATTGTAGTCTACTCTCCCAGGATCAGGAAACGGTCCTCCATAAAATGTGCTGCACACATCTGAATATTTGGGTTGAAGTGTTCTGGAACAGTGTTGTAAATACAACTTAACCACTGATTTCTAGTCGTGTCCTCTTTTGGAAGGCCAAACAAACGTTATGCAAATCTTCCCACATCGTGACCTAGACATGTGGGGGCGTGTTAGAATGAGCTGTTTTAGGTAGGCGCGGTTGACTCTTAACTTTTATAAAGAATATCTCTTTGGATTTGAGACTTTAGTCTTTGCAACTTTACAGATCTTCTTTATGTACCAAGAGCTTGTAACACTCCAAAGAGAAAGGAAAAATTGAAATCGCATCATATGACCCCTTTAAAATTCTTGTTTTTGGTGTGAATGGGCCTTTACGGTTACACTAATCTCTTCATTCTCTTCAGTTGCTGGTTAAAGAATGACGTGACCTTTTATGTGACGGTGGTTTCCTTTGTGACCCTGGTCATGGTCTGTAACATCTGCATGTTTGCCGTGGTGCTGGTACAGATCCATAAAATGCGGGCCAATAAGCCCTCCAGCAGCCGAAAAGGGTTCCTGCATGACCTGCGAGTGGTGGCCAGTCTCACCTTCCTGCTGGGACTTACCTGGATACTATCCTTTGTCGCTTGGGGCCCGGCCAAAACACCCCTGCTGTACCTGTTCTCTCTCCTCAACAGTCTTCAAGGTAACAGTAAGGGCTGCTGCTTATGGCCAGAGAGAGAAAGTTAGCTAATGCATCACTGTGGAGATAGACACAGTGATTATAATAGGACCATCAGGAAGAATGCATTGTTCTAGTGTTTAACAACAGATAACATTGTTTTTGTATTGTAATCTTCATAGCAAATGTAAAGGATTTAGATTTGTTTTGCTTTTTGTTCAGGTTTCTTTATCTTCCTGTTTTACTGTCTGATGAAAGACAATGTAAGGAAGCAGTGGAGGAAACATCTCTGCTGTGGAAGATTCAGACAGACTGAATATTCAGGTTTGGCACATTTAAACAATACATTAGTTCTCATACTTAAACAAAGCTACATATCAAGCTCCACACAAAAATGTATATTAAAGGAGTGTTCTGGATTAAAATGTACACCACTTACAAACACAAAAGCTATCAATTAGAGACAAGCTTATTCATAGAAAAGTTACATGAATAAAAGATCAGTTGAATTTTGACCAGACTGGAGCCGTTCTGTGACACTGGGGGCCAAAGCAAAGGGTGGTCTGCAAGTCTCCTCACCGTCCATGAAGTCAGAGACTACCAACGAAAGGAAGAGCTCTGATACCTCAAACTCAGGGACCAGCCATGATGGTGTTTTCCCGACACAGGGCAGAAAAACAATCTAATAAAATGTGTATTTCTTTTTGTGTTTATGTTAAAAGGAGTCTTTCCAGCAAAAAAAATCATTATTTCAATAATTTATTTCTTCCAGAGATGAATTGGTAACACTTTACAATAAGGGGTGGTCTGCAAGTCTCCTCACCGTCCATGAAGTCAGAGACTACCAACGAAAGGAAGAGCTCTGATACCTCAAACTCAGGGACCAGCCATGATGGTGTTTTCCCGACACAGGGCAGAAAAACAAGCTAATAAAATGTGTATTTCTTTTCGTGTTTATGTTAAAAGGAGTCTTTCCAGCAAAAAATCATTATTTCAATAATTTATTTCTTCCAGAGATGAATTGGTAACACTTTACAATAAGGTTCATTAGTTAAACATTAGTTAATGTATTAACTAACATGAACTAACCATGAGCAATACATTTGTTACTGTATTTACTAATCTAC